ATCTCGAGTAAACTCGTGTATATATATATATATATATATATATATATATATATACATATATACATATATATAATAAATGTTTCTATTCTATTCAATTCAATCTATTAGTCATAAATGTGTGATTCCAAATGCGTTTTAACCTACTTCACATAAGATATATTAGTCTCTTGAATACATATAAAGTTCCTGGACATAAAAACATTTCCTTTTAAGAAAATTGAAAAAAGAACTAAACGATAATTTAATTTTGATCATTCTGCAATTTGCAGCTTTCTGATAGTATGAAAAAAGTTTTGTCGGTTAATTTCATTCAAAATCACTTACAAATTACTATACTTAAACCATCTAAATATCTCCTTTTATACAGAATGTAAAGTGAAATATTTTTTTAGCTCTGTTAGATATTTTAAGTAGACAGAATGTTTTTCTTTATTATTATTGCAATAAATGTATGGAAAAGGTTACCACTATGCTGACCAAATATTATTTCTAGGTTCCAACGTTTGACGATACTCACAAAGCATTTTTTCCTTCATGGAAAGATGCTATGGAACATGCCCCGACAGAGGATATGATTGGTTATTGTCGAAAAAACATAGAAAATGATTATGACGAAAACAAATGCTCGTATGTTGAAAATGTTTATTATTTTTAAATATGGAATTACAATTCAACAATTTTTTTTTCAGTCATTAATAATTTTGAAAACGATGCGTCAAAAATAAAAGTTGTACCCTCTTTTGAGACTTCAGTATTTTTCGTCACGACACAAATAAATAAACAAAAGTGATTCTATGGAGAATATTTTACAACAAAGGACATAAAACGCATTTATTTAAAACTTAAATCAAAAATTAACATAAATGAAATATTTACCTAAAACAAATGAAAGAGAAATTAAAATGTGGGGGATAAACCAAAAGTAATTTTCATTCGGCGTCATCCCGTGAACTGAAGAATTCAAGAGCTGAATAAAACAGTTTCGGTTAAAGTTAAGAGTTAAATGCTTGTTACAAAGCAAATATTTTTTATGACATTGATAGTTTTGAGCACAGGGTGTTAAAAATTAAATGATAAGATTTTCCCACGTGCATAAATTATTTTTAATACTAACTTGTCACAATAGATCTTATTTAGAAATAATCTGGATAATTATAATAATTTTTCAACAATTTTGGGGATTTGTAGACGAAATGTTCGTTCATGATTTTTTTTTTATACAACTTAAACGTTTGAAGCAGAATTTTTATTAAATATATTTTTCATTATTTTGTATTAAATTAGGACAGAATTTGTAAAAAATATTATATTTAGTATTTTAATAATTTATGGTTATGAAATATAATAGTATGAAATACCGGTGTCTTTTTCTGCGTTAAAAAATTCTTCCAAACACTACTGACTTCTAGAATTTGTTTTTTTTTATAATTTGCAGTTATTTAGATTTGAAAAAAACAGTTATTCATCACTGAAATTTCGTTAATTACAAAATTGTTTATTCATAAATTTTTGAATATGAATGAATAAAAATTCAGACAACATTTTTAGATTTCATATTTTAGTACCAATATAATTCCGATTATCTAACAGATTTTTTAGCAATCATTAAACTGTTCTTATAATTAAAAATACCAAAATATATTTTTGCTAACAATTAGGGAGTCAGAAAATTGCATAAAAGGGTTACCATTGTCTCATCTGTGTCAAAGATAAAATATATCATTATTTTATACTGACTTGTCTTCTCATATTCAACGAACCTCATTAAACTGCTGAACTAATTAAATTAAATTAAACTGATCATTAAACTGCTTTTTACTAAAACTTCTATGCATAGAACGATCATTCAAATTTTACCCCATATTCAAGGTTATATCTCATAATAATTCTAGATATATAACGAGTTGATGAATAAATGAGTATAAAACAATAGAGAGAAGTCATGATTGAATGAATGAGTATAAAACAGTTCAGAGCAGTCATGATTCAATAAATGAGTATGAAACAGTTGAGAGAAGTCATGAATGAAAATAGAGAAGCAAATCAGCGAAAGTTCAAATGTATTTGAACTAAATAAATAATGACAAAAAGAAAAGTATGTTTAATAAACACTCTGCGTCAAAGGATGAAATCTAAGAGTGATGAAAATAATAATTAAAAACCTCTCTCAGATTCATCTGTTATAACCGGTTTTTTTCTAATCTCACTTTTATTATGAATCGTTATATTCTGAAAGTGTAGTTATTGTATTTCTCTCACTTTAGATATTGATACTTATACTTCATTTAGTATTTGCTCCTTTTGTTTTATTTTATGACAACTAAACAACCACTCTTCACACTATTCACTATAGTATTTCTCTCACTTTAGATATTGATACTTATACTTCATTCAGTATTTGCAAGTTTTGTTTAATTTTATGCTAACTAAACAATCACTATTGTATTTCTCTCACTTTAGATATTGATACTTATACTTCATTTAGTATTTGCACCTTTTGTTTTATTTTATGCTAACTAAATAACCACTCTTCACACTATTCACTATTGTATTTCTCTCACTTTAGATATTGATACTTATACTTCATTTAGTATTTGCACCTTTTGTTTTATTTTATGCTAACTAACCAACCACTCTTCACACTATTCACTATTGTATTTCTCTCACTTTAGATATTGATACTTATACTTCATTTAGTATTTGCGCCTTTTGTTTTATTTTATGACAACTAAACAACCATTCTTCGCACTATAGAAAAGGCAAATAATCTGTTCATAGGAATTTACTAACACTATAAGAAACTGAAAAGCATGCATAATAAATAATGCTAAAATTTTTCTGATTCTTTTTTGTCTCATATACAAAGCTATGAATCGGCAAGTCTTTGTTTTAGACAAATAAAGTATTTATAAACATATAATTTTTGAACTTATTAAAAATTATTAAATAAACTAAAACCTTGTTTTTATTAGAGTTCGGCGGTTTCCCATGGTTTCGAAGAGACGGAATCCCACATTTTGCTACACTATTGAGTCCCAAATAAATGACCCATTTTCACCTGATGTTATTTATACAAACACGTTCGGCAAGTATTATTTTTTTTCAACTTTACAGAAAAAGTTTCATATAGATTTTTCAAGAATTAAAAAAAAAAAAAAAAAAAATCTTAAACAGTGTCAAAAGTCACAAAAATGCTACAAAGAAAATGTTTTGAGACTCTACGGAGAAAATATTTCCCGTCAAATTATTGAACAGTAATTTTAGAAAAATTTCCGGTTAAAAAAAGTCCTAGTTCTGGTAATGAAGCGAAAATTTACGGCATCCTTTGCAAAAATTTTTTAAGATAAAGGTATAATCATTCATTTTGAGGATGCCTTACATGCTCATTTAAGTTATAATCAATAATTTATCTTCAAAAAGTAATTAAACTGTTTAATTTCTTTAAAACTTTAAAAAAAGTTGAAAAAATTCTAAATTTTTAAATCCCTAAGGCAGTTAAAATAAAAAATTATTTTAACATATTTTCAAAAAAAGTTTTTTTCATAGTGCTTGCAATATTTATCTTAATAATTTTGTGCATTCATTTGTTGATATATCAATTAGAATATTTTTTATAGATTATTTTGTAAAAAAGTAAAAAAAAAAGGGTAAAAATTCCTGTTAGGTATATATAACATGCCGTAAAAATTGTAATACCTCATAAAATGCTTATTCCATGCACAGTTTAAATAAGTGTATTATACTCAAGATAAAAAAGTTTACTTCAAAGCTTTATCTTAAATAGAAAAAATTCCTTAGGGATTTAATTAAGATTAAGACACAAAATTATCATCTATGCGAAAAAGCACTTTAAAGTCAGACTGCTGAGCAAGTTTCTGTATTAGAACAATTTAAAATCATTCATAACTTTTTTAAAAATGTAGATAGAGAGATGAATTTTTTTCTGTACATTTGAAATACTTTGAAGTTTTATTATAAGCAAAAAAAAAAATTTTGGTATTTTTGTCATTTTTTGGGTACTGTGACCCCTTAAACCATTCATGTTGTAATGGTTTCCATTTGTATGGTAACGGTCTACCCTAACTCCAGGTCTTCGAAATTGTAGCTCTTATTAACACACATTTAATAAAAATACAGGACTTCAAAGTAATTTCAAACAAATAAATGATTTTTATGCCTTTCTCTACGGTGACGTGATAAAATTACCCGATTTTAGCACATTTACATAATTTTATCACTTGTTATAAAACCATATTTTATTATTTGATACTTTTTAAACGTTTCACTTCAAACTCAGGTCTGGGAAATAAGCTAGTTCGATATGAATGCTCGGCAATTTTTTGTAGAACTGTGAGCTTGATATGAAAAATTTATTCTTATTTTGAATAAGAACATTTTATAAATTTTTAAAATTTACCTAGTGCCTAATTATGATTTTATAAAAATATTTCTGAAATTGAGTTTAGTATAAATTTGAAATTACTATAATTTAGGCTTGCTGAAAATACTTTACTTTCGCTTTTACTCCATTTATTTTCAAAAGTTACAGTAGTTTTTTGCGCAAGGTGATAACCCTGGATAGTCTTTAAATGAGCTTATCTCAAAACTAGTTTTTTTTCACATTTTACACCTCCTTAAACATAATGTTTCAAGTTGTTTTTAAAATAACTGTCCATAATTTCCCATGAGTATTTATTTAATGATTATAGCACTCATGTTTTTGAACTACAAGGCTAAGAGAAAAGAGTAAAACTTTTTATGCATGCTTTTCGACAAGTGCAAAAAATTTCCCAAATTTGCTTTTTTAAGTACATTGAACCCTAACTCAGCGTATGCACTTGATTTTAAAGTAATAATACTCCAAAACATAGTTGATAACCTTCTAAATAAAATCTTCAAAGGAGTTTTTGTTTTGGGGGATAGAAATTTCTTTACAGTGTTTAACATATATGCAAAACAGTGCCTTAATTTCACCAAACAATGGCCATTTAAACAACAAAAATTAAATAATATTAATTTTATTGTGAGTTTTACAATTGTTTTACACATTATAAAGCAAATAAATAAGTTTTTTTTTAAATTTTATATTAATATTTGAAATAACAGTTGTCGAAATTTGTCAGATACCTTATGATCGATAACTATTGTCCTCCTGATTACCAAAAATAAAATTAAAATTTTAATTAAGGCGGCTTTAAAAAAATTGCTTCTTACCCTATCGAATACATATATATTTATGCAAAATTCATATAATTTTAGACTACAGAATAGACCTGAGTACTTTCTCGGAAGAATACTTTTATCCCACAGATGAAGTCCTAATATACGCAGTGGTGCATAACCGTCGGCATCTTGTTAACCCATATAAGGAAGGAATCGTCCTTAAGGCGGGATATTTCTATAAAATATATGTCTCCATGGCAAGTATTTATTCCTCCAATTTTCATTTTAACATGAAAGTATTATTTACTTCTACTACAATTATTTGAATGTTACCCTCAAAATTATTATCTTGAAATTAATGTACGCATCTGTTGTTGTTGTGACTTACCCTCCAAATGTCTGACAATGTCAGACAAAGGCCAATCAGGCCATTGACTCTAAGAAATTCGAGGACCAGAAGGAGGAATGAGTATATGTCCTCTCTAGAAAGTCCCAAATAGTCCAAGATGTGTTCGGGAGAAGCCTGCTCAGTTTGACATTTGGAGCAGACCTCGAAGATTTTCCTGCCTTCGAAAAACGAGAGAATCTTTGCGTGACAGCTTGCTAATCTGGAAATTGTGTTGTAGCATGTATCTGTTTACATATTTGAACAATAAAGTGAACTATATTAAAATATAATATAAATCATTTTGTTAAAGCAATACGGAAAATACATCAAGGTATTTCTCGATCAAGACCTTTCATATATATTTTTATAAGAGGAAATACATTGCATTTTATATTAAAATTCTTACTGTTTATATATTATATATACAGCAACATATGCATATCAAATCGCATTAATTATCTATGTCGTAAAATAATAGCCGTCATAATTGAGCAACGTAGTAAATAGCTATAATTAGCTGTAGTTAGCTACGTAGTATGATCGCCACGTAGTAAATAGCCGCCATAATGAGCAACGTAATAAATAGCCATAATTAGCTGTATAGTTAGCCACGTAGTATGATCGCCACGTAGTAAATAGTCGCCATAATCAGCAATAACTATTTAGGCTAACTACAAGTAGTAGGTAAATTTAACGGTTGAACTTTAGACGCTTGTGTTCCTTTTACATTTTTTCTGACACTCTATTTACAAGTAAAAAAATATTTCCATATTTTTTCATTGTAAAACACAGTGTCATTGCTATTAAAAAATATATTAGGTTTTCAGAATTATATCTATTCTAAATTATAAAATCTAAAAAAAAGTAATTGGTTTTCACTCATATTTGAGCATTAATCAATAATTGATTTTGTTAATTAAAGAAATTTCAATGATGATTAGCTTTTTTCATGAGATCTAAATATTTGGAAGTAAGTGCAAATTTGAAAAGTTATTGTTCGGAAGTGAGACGCGTTTGAAAGATTTTACTTTCAGAAAAAGACTCCGGTGTTTCATGCTGTATTTCATAATCATAACCTATTAAAATGTTCAATATTTTGCACTTACTTGGACTAAAATCGGTTCAAAATAATTAACAAAAGTGTGAAAAGTATGCTTCTTAAAAAGTCTGCTTCAAAAGGATAAAACTAAAAGTGTGGAAAATGATAACTATAAGCTTCTCTTAGATTCATCCGTTAATAACCAGTTTTTTTTCTAATCTCCCCGCTATTATGAATCGTTATAATCTGAAAGTGCATGTTTTGGTATTTCTCTCACTTTAGATATTGATATTTATACGTCATTTAATATTTACACCTTTTGTTTTATCTTATGCTAACTAGATACCCGCTGTTCACACGGAGAAGAAGGTATATAATCTGTGTAATCGGTATTTAACGACACATAATAAATAATGCTAAATCATAATAATGCTAAAATAATGCATGGTCATAATAAATAATGCTAAAATGATTCCAACTCTTTTCGAACTACTAAACTGAAATGCAATAACAGAATTGATAACGCTAAAATGATTACGATTATCTTTTTATTATCACTTGTGGACTTTATTTTATTAGATTAAGAAAAATTTGATTTTCCCATATCACTAAATAAAAATAAAATTTAAAGTTACTGATTTTTGCTTGAAGTAAAATCATGATAGTCAACATTTACCACCATTACGAAAACATTTCCGTCACTTTCTCTTTTCGCCGAAAGAAAATCTATTATCACAGTAGCTGTCTAAAATTTATTTGGTACCTATAAATACCGTATTTTATTTAATTACTTTTTTAGAACAGAAGAGTCGATTTCGGGTTTGCACTAACAAAGTTCATCTCCGTAGCCTTGCAATTTTAAACTCAATCTAGAAGACCCCAGACTCCCAGATCAAGTAATGGCAGAAATTTGCATTCATGGAGGACTTTTTGATGGAACCAACTTTTGCTTACTTGCTTTACACGAAGAGGAGAATCACGATAGCCTCCCACGTTTAGCCTGACGGCAAGTAGTCTCTAACCCATGATCCGTCGACACTGAGGACATTTTACGCCAGTATTGTGGTCTGTGCGAGCCTGCTGCGGATTTCATATCCACCAGCCATCGCTGAGCCATGACGGCTCTGGGGATAGAGCGTTCGAATTCCAATGAGGTAAACCGGGTTCGAATCCCAGTGATTTCTGGTTGATACGAGTTCCTCATCCGGCTTGCACCGTCTGCAGTGCTGACATAAAATATCCTTAGGGGTAGACGGATCGTGGGTTAGACCTTTGCCAACAGGCTAACCATGGGAAGTTTCGTGGTTTTACCTCTCCATGTAACACAAATGCGAGTTGGTTCCATCAAAAAAGTTCGCCACGAAGGCAAAATTTCTCCCAATACTTGATCCAAAGGTCCTCTTGTCTTCTGGATTGCGTTCAATATTGCAACGCTTTGGAGTTGAACATTAGTAGTCGTAAATCCAAAATTTTGGGTCTGCTATTCAGCAATGGTTATAAAATAAGATAAGATCTGCAATCGCTGGGATAAATACCTTTATTTGTATAATTTATACCTTTTAAAACATGAATTACAACTAAAATACCAATAATACTTTTTACCCTGGTAGTCAAAAATGATTCAGAAACGATTTTCATAAAGGAGGATAGATATTGGTTCGATACTATGTTTGTTGAAGTAAAAATCGTATTGTTTTTATTTATTCGACAATTTTAAATTATTATTAATTAAATATTATTAATAAATGTATATTATCAATAAAAAGTAGCCTCTGAATGGTAAAAATAAATGATTAATCTAGTGAAAAATATATTCATAAACATTTATAATTGAAAAATATATGCTTCATAACTATTTGCTTTTATTTTGCATTCATTTTCAAAAGCAAAAAGAAAATGCATACAAATATGATCAAAATTTTTCAGAGAGAAGACATCAGACTTCCACATCCATACAGTACAAACTGTACAGATTATTTAAGTCTTTGGAATGAAAACAATGGCACGGGACCGTTAAACGAAAGGGTATGATAAGATTCTTACGCTTCATATTTCCTTTTTGTATAATTAGAAAATATCATTTTATTAACAGTATCAGCTTATTTTGGATAACAGTTAGAAGAATTCAACTCCTTTAAAAATTGTTTAAGGTCAAAGCAGTCTGATTTTTTTACGCGCAGTAAACAATATGAACTGCCGGTCACAAAAATAAAAAAACAATATAGTTTTTATAATTGGTTATTGACAATTGCATATCAATAGTTTGGTAAATTCGAGGATAAATTAAAAAATTCATTTACACTATTATAAAGCATCACAATGGGAAAAAAGGAGCAAACATGCAATTATTCCTTAAATGACTAATTTTAACATTTTAAACATGCAAAACGAGTTTACAAATTTCTAGAAATAATATTTTTCTACCTAAATTGTGCGCAATATTTATCTACTACTCTAAATGGCTGAAATTGGTGGTTGTTGATTTTTACCAGTGAAAGTTCACAATCACATTTTGGTAAATGCCCAAGAAATATATGCTAGGTCTAATTAAGTGTCATTTGTCCGATATTGTCGACTCTGAAGTTTTAAGGTTCAATGCCACTGCCCGGTATACATTTGCCCGGTATGCCCTACATCAATGTTTTTTAAGGTCAAGTTCCACTGCCCAGTATGCAATTAACTGGTACTCCGAACACTGATATTTCTCCTAATCTATCACCAGCAGATACTAAAGTATCGAATAAATATATTAATATCAAGGAATAAATTAATTTCGAATAGGATGTAACAAATATTTCAGACATTCAAAGCAACTATGTGATTGTTGACATTCACTGGTGAAAGTCGACATTCTCTTGATCTGAGTCATTCACGGTTGCAGCTATATCTTGTCACAGTGTGATCTTTAGATCTTTTTTACAACCACAATTAGAATAAATATTTTAATGTTTTTGAAGCATTCAAATCGTTTGGAAAACGTTTGTATTTTTTTCAATGTACCATGAAG